GGCCGCCCGGCCCGGCGCGGGGCGGGGCCGCCCGGCCTACCGCACTCTCTGGAGTAGCCGCGCCGCGCTGGCGCGCGCTGCTGCGCGGCTCTCACAGAGCCCTGGCTGAGGCGCCGAGGCCTCTTTAACCCGCGCAGCGCTAAGCGCAGCGCAGCGAGCGCGCGGGTTCGAAACGGGGACGGGCTCCGAGGTCCGAGGCCGAGCAGAACATCCACTGCTTCGTGCCAAGAGGAAAGAACCCTGCTAAATGAGAAACTATGCAAAAACCGCAGTGCACAAGAAAACGTTATTTCCCAAAAATGCATTATACTACAAGAAAGCCCCCAAAACCCTCCAAGTTCTGCAAATCCTAAATTTGAAATTACATAACTATTTTTAAGGATGAGTATTTTTATCAAAATTATAACGCTAGCAGTTCAGAAAATGGAAGTTCTTCTCCATTCTGTTAAAAACCATAGATCTCTATCATAGAAGTATAGTATGTTTTACTTCATTAAAATGATACAGATAGAAAAACATACTTACCTTATTTGCTTTTATTTCCTGAGTAGAGCTTCATTTTTGTGCCTCCTGTTAAACTAAATGCATGCTTAGTATTTAATTTTTTCCCCTTATATTTCTACTAACCATATTTCTAGGACACGCATTTAGGCATCTTAATCCTTAAACATAGAATTATAGCAAATTTACTCTCAATTATTAGCTATACAAAGTCAATTATACTTGCAAGCTACATTTTTTTTACATTCAAATAGACAACAAACTTTACCAACTGCCAAAATTAAATGATAGACTCCTACAGCAGCACTTCAGAAACTGCCAGAGAAGCAGCAGCTTCCCAGAGAACCCTTCCCCTTCTCCTGCACAAATTTATAAGTTTGCCCTAACTAAGCTCAGGTGTCACCAAGCAGCCCCAAGGCCGGACACGCGGGTTCAAAAGCGAGGCCCCGCCCGCCGCGATCCCCGCCCTGAGGGCGGTGACGCTCCTCATGGCCCTGTCTCCCGCACCGCCCGGGCGCGCATGCGCGGGGGGTTGCGCGCCGCCATTCGCGGCCTGAGCGGCGGTTGGGAAACGGTTGGGAGCCGTTGGGCGCGCGGTGGGTGCTCGGCAGCGCCTCGGCCGCCTCTCAGCCCGCGGAGTGGTAGCTTGGCCCCAGTACATCCTTTTCTTTGGATAAGTGTGTGGCGTTTTGCTGAAGTTAAGGAGTGTGCAGGCGGGTGCGTTGCTTTGCGGGTGTGTTAGAGCTCCCCGCTGCCGCCGTACCTGGCGAGGGCGAGCACGTTGGCCTGCGGGCGGTGCGGGGCGGTGAAGGGCTCGCGGTGAGGTAAGGACTCTTGTTCTGGCCTTCCTTCTAAGTGAAGCGGGGAGGCGGTGCAGGGCGGAGCGGGGACGTGGGCAATGTGTTGACTTCTGAAAGCCCTGAACAGAAAGTATGTTCACACTGGGCTTCTGGAACATCTGAAGGTATAAACTGCTATTATATATGAACTGTTAAAACAACTCTTGTGCCATGAGTCCTGTGCTAAGAGACATGTTCAGTTTAGCATGCATGTAACTAACCCAGAGGCTTACATCTTAAAACAGATGTGAAAAATAGCTGCATATTGTGTATGCTCATGCCATCCTTTTTGTGAGTATTGATTCTGTTATTTCTGTTCTGGGAAGTGTGTTTATAAAGTATGGCTTCTACAAAGTCGCATAGTAGTTGCTTTCCAGAACTCTAAATGCTTGTGTTCATTTACATTATCTTTTTCATTATGAAGAAATGATTAAGTTGTAGAGAGTAGCTTGATGAGAGAATCTTCCTTTTTTCTTTTTTTTGTTGCTGCTATTATGAATGTCTTATCTTTGACTGTTTAGAAGATAATTCTGTGGAAATCAGAGATGTTCTTCTTACAGAATTTTAAAGACACTAATACTGTCATGAATTGTAAACTACAATAATCTTTTCTTTTTCTGTTTTGATAGGGCTGTGCAGTCAGTGGTTGCTTCTCCTGCTTGATTTGTCATGATAACTCCAGCCTTTGAGCTGAGCCAGGATCCAGACTTTCTTATAATAATAATCAAAATACCTTATGCCAGAGCTTCAGAGTTTGATATATATTTTGAAGGGGAAGACTTTAAATTTTATGCCAAACCTTACTTTCTCAGGTAAAGATGGTTGTATAGAGCTTTGCACTTCAAAAGATCAAAAAGAAAAATTTCAATTTTGAGGCCTTCAGAGCATGCCCCATTTGTAGTAGCAATGGTGATTTTGGCCTATCTTATAGGTCTGGTCCCTTTGTCTCAAGGTTTTTAATCACTAAAAGGTATTCATTTGATTGCTCTAAATTTGCTCAGATTTCCATATATAAAGTGGCAAAACAATTCGTTAGATGTATGTAATTCTTATAGAATAAGTGTGCCTTTTCACCACTGAGAACCAGGTAGCATATACTTAGTGATGCATGTGTTTTGGTGTGTATCTCCACATGGGGAGGATAAGTGGCTATATTCTCTTTTTGCTGTTACAGAATTCATGAGACATTCAGTCAGATCTCTTGTCTTTTTTTTCCCCTGCAGATTGACCCTACCTGGAAGGGTTGTGGAGGATGGCAGAGAAAAAGCATCTTATAATACAGATGAAGGTACCAGTTAATGTTACTCATGTGCATGCTACTGGAAATACAGTATTAACTCTCCAGTAACATGGTTAATTTCACAGAGCTCTTAACTTATGTGCAATATTTTACTAAAATGTAAAACGTTTCTTCTGTTTTATGATTTTTTGTCAGGGAAGGATTAAAATTAAAATCAAGTTTGTTTTCTGTTGGCTTTTATTATGCAGTGTAAGTTAAGAGACTACAACTGGTCAAATAGTCTTTTTTTGTATTGTTAAAATCTTTGTTTTTAGTGAAATTAGCTAAGGAAGTATAGAAACATGCATAGAGATGGGTACATAACATATTTTCTGCTTGTAACTCAATTTGTGAGCCTTTTTCATAAAAATAAAAACTTCTTTTAAAAAATTTTCATTGCTTGTTTAATGCAAAGCTAATAACTATTTGACTTTTCATTAAGGAACTTTTACAATTCACTTACCTAAGGAGATGCCTGGCCAATATTTTGAGGGACTGGATATGCTGACCTCTCTTTTGGCACCAAAGAAGTTGAAATCAACACCTTTAGTGGAAGAGATAGGTACAACAACAAAAAATCTTATTTATCTTAGTGATATATATGCATGTTAAATAGTTATACAAATAGTTTTATATAGTGGTGTACAAATGGAGTTACCTAGTGCTGTATGTAGGAGGATAAACTCTATTACTATCTAATCCAAGGTACAATGTAAGTGAATGAACCTGAATGCATGGATAAATATCAAGGAGTACTTGTAGGTGATCTGCTTTTCATATTAATAATTTAGTTACGTGTACACTTTCCAAAATATATTTTTAACACGTGCTAAACCTCTGTAGGTCTGTGGCCCCTCTAGTGGCTGTATAATGAACAGACATTTGAGTATTTTACTTCCTACACATGTAACTAGTTTTTCAGCTCAAATAGTAGAAGCCCAGAAGTAAAATAAGAACTGTACGTTCCAGGGGATGACCTGCTTAGGGACATCATTTTCATAGAAAAAAAAAAAAAGACTGTGTGTTTAGTGATGTGAGTATCTGTTTTAAAAGATTACTATTGTTACATAGTTTTTATTATGGTGATCTTAGAAAAAATTTCTGTTCATGAGGAAATCAGTGGAATCACTATTTCAGTCTTTGAGTAACTGAGTATAAGTTTTTCTGGTCTCTCTTTTGGGAAATTGGGGAATTTGGGAAAGGAGTTAAGTTATTGATATAAGGATCTACTTGTATAAAATGTTAACAACCAATGATTTTTTTAATTTTGGAAACTACTTTTATTGTAAGACTATTTTTTTACTTCAAGTCTAATCCAGTGATTTTGTGTAAACTGATACAATCATATACTATGCCTCTGTTCCAACAGAAGTGGAATACGTGGGGCTTGTGTGAAAGAAAGCAATGCTTTTGCACACTACTGATGATGAGGGTTCATGTCCTTTTAGAGGAAAATGTCATTGGGAAATGAACCCAGCAGACAGCAAAATCTGGCAGATTGTAAACATTAGTAGAGAACACGTATGTTGTATAAAAACAATCTGCTCTTGTCTTTGTATTGTCTTTGTTCTGTATATATGAATGAGATCTGTTATGCCTCATTTGCATTCAAACCACTCAGTTTAATAGCTTGAGAAATTCTCACTAATGTTAGCTGGATAAAGGAGATTTGGAGATGTGTGTTTGTTCCATTTGCTGACTCTCTTCTGTTTTCTGGAAGTTAGTTGGCACAGTTATATAAGCTTTTTAAGATACATAGTAAATAAAAAGCTTACTCTACTGTCAGTGTTTTGTCTTGTTATTAAATCATGTATGTTTTGGGTGGTATAAGCTTATCACTCATTCTCTGTGCAATGTACACAGCTGACTCTGCTCACTTTTCTGAAGAGGAAGAGGATGACTTTGACTGGGAAATTGAGCAGACTCCATACGAAGAAACTGCAGAAAGTGCTCTACAGCAGAAGTACTGCTATGGATTTGGGAATTTGCACTCAGAGGTGTTGCAGCGCCTGCAGGTGGGTGATTCCTTTTCCTCTTAGATCTTCAATGTAACTTAGGATTTACAGCACTTCTGGTTGGTTAGGCTTCCTGGTTTGTTTCTTAGTTCGAGATCATTACATCATAGCTTTTCCTCATTATCTTATTATATGACTGAGTATATCCTACTCTTCATGTAATGGTAAAGGCAAATGTTCCCTCCTGCAGAAAGCAGATGTGGTCGAGAGCAAGTTAACTGTGGCAGCTGAGAAAATAGCCCGGTGTATTTCTGCAGTGTGATTAGTGAAAAAGGAAAGAGACCAAGTGTTGCTGGCCCAGAAGGAAAAAGGAGAAAAGGGAGGGTGTAGATGGGATCCTACATGTGCAAGTGGGCTGCTATGGGCAGCACAAATAGGCTAGCCTTTAAAGGTAGAAAAAGGCCTGTATGAGGTAGATTGTCAGGTGACTAGTTCTGGCAGCTTAAACAGTCTTCAGGCTGTGCAATTAATACTCCTGTTTTTACATGATACTGTCTTTTCTTCTGGCTTCAAACATTCAGTGTCAACATCAGGTATATTTTAGATGTATTAAATTTTAAAACCTTTAACAAGGATGATGCAGATTTAAAGAAAAAAATCAAGCTGGCTATAGGCTTTCATGATTGTTGCATTAAAATATATTTTATTGTGTAATTCATGGTTATTGTTGTGTTCTTAAATTTTGTCTTCTGAAGAAGCAAAGGCTATAACTTTAAGTGCAGTCTTCCTGTTTCACCATGTTATTTTGAGGATCTTGGTACCAAGAGGTACTTGCCTCTCTCTCCCTCGCTAAAGCTGATTTCAGATGTAAAATAAGCTTGTTAGCAGCTAAAATTATAATTTCACTAGTAAACAGAAGACAAGACATCTGAAAATGGGCTCTGGTTTATTGTTCTTAAAGACCTCCAGCAATTGATTTCTGTTTTTTGTCTCCTTTATTCAGGAGTAGCATTCCTTAAATCTAGCATCAGATTGTGAATGAAAATGTTCATGAAATGTAATTGTCCATAGAGCTTGAACATAACTGAGTTCTCTATTGCTTCTAAACTTAGGTTTATAGTCTTATGGGTTTATGTATTTAAATCAGGATAAGTAGTGGTCATACTGTAATTTTCTGCTTATCAGAGCCTGAACTTCTCAGATAACTTTGCCTGAGCTCTTTGATCAGTGTTGTTCTGTGATAACTTGCCCTATTTCAAGAAGTGGTTAATAGCTGGCTGGAATGCTGGCTGGGAATGCAGACTTATTTTCTTGATTGGTCTGTGTTGTCTGGAATATGGGACACCTGTTAAGTGATTTGAGTTTCATAGTAGCTCAGGAGAGAGAATAGGTAATTGTTGTCAGAGATTGAGAGTAAAATTAGCATAGATTGACTGATAGTTCTGATTTTTTTCTAAATGTGAATGTTTTGCTTGGTCTAAAAATACAACAATTATATTCTTAATGCAAAGCCTTAGAAATGCTTTATAACAAATTTTCTGAACACAGTAGTGCACTTGTTAAAGATTAGCAGTCAGATTTATTCACTATTATCTGCCTTTGTGTTTATATTATGCCTTTGCCATAACTGAATTATAGAAATTTACTAGAAATGCTTCAGAGGGTTAGACTGCTGTGAAGTACTGTGTAAAGAGGATGATGCTGAATGATTTATTGTGTGTAGTAAAAGAAATGGAAATGTGATATCTAAATCAAGTTTACAGACTGAGATGGAATTCTTCAAATTCCCTATGTGCTTGATTTATGATGAATTTACTAGGACTAGGACTGTGCTGAGGCATTGAAATTTCCTTTTGCTGATTAATTTGTAGGAAAGGAACTTTAAACTGTAGTTATTCAGCATTCAAAAGTTTCTTTAGTGGATGAATAGATTGTAGTTAATTTGCAACCTGTAGCATGCTCAGCTGCATCATAATATTGGTAGAATATAGAGCTTTTGTTAAGATATGAGATAATTTATTTTGTTAAGATATGAGAATTTTTGTTAAGATATGAGATAATTATTTATAATTTATTTATTATAAATTTATTTATAATTTATTATAATTTTTTCAATGTCCTACTTAAGTCTGCACACCAGACGATATAAGTAGTAGGTATTCAAAACATGCTAATAATGTAGCTCTAACTTAATATTGCATGAATTGTAGTATCTCAAAGTTTTGGAGCAAAAGGATCACTAATGGAGAAAGTGTTTACATTCTCCAAGTATATTTATGAGATTTACCATGAAAGTCCTGAAGAAATATATTTTCCATCAGCATTAATGTACCTCTGGTTAATGATTCCTAAAAGGATACTGAAATTTTTCATTAATTATGGAAGATCTCAAGAGTTACACAAACACAATCTATGATTTTTCTTGGATATGTTTGAGTGCTTTTATTAAGCATTACAAATTTCAGCATAGTGTCAGCCTACTTGCCTTATGATAAGAGCCTGAGTAGAATTCATAAGTTTGAAGCTTCTTAGAATTCATAATGATTGAAACTTGGTGGAATCTGGGTATCCACTTTCCACGGTTGAATCTGGATTGAAAGGTAAGCAGGTGTTTAAGACCATCTATTTTCAATAATGGTATTGAGATGCACAATTCTAGGTACAGCTCATATGTTTTAAGTGCTGACTATTATCGTTACTCTTTTTTCTACTTATGTTAATAGTGAAGGCATAGTCTGACATGCAGTAAGGAGAGATTGAAAAGTGCCTGAGCACTTCGCTCTTTTAATGCCAATAGACCTCCCTTGTAAATTGACACTATATTCTTCTACATTGTATCTTTGGCTTAGTTGACTAACTTTTGTTGCATTTTCAGGAAGAGCTCACAGAGGTAATTGACATTAAAGATCCAGATCGAGTGCCTGTAAGTGAGCGTAGGAGAAAGCGCCTAGCAGCTGAGGTGGCCAAGTTTGATCCTGATCATTATCTGTAAGTACTCTTTTTTAATTTTATCTGGTCAAGTGAAATTACATCAGTTTTTGTTTTTGCATTTAATCACGGTTAAGATATACAACTAAATTATTGTATTTCTGTGTAACCTGATAAAAAGGATGGTTCTGGAGATGTAGTGACAAACAAATATTCTGTTTTAAGGAAAATGGAGACTGGGTAAGATTAAGTTAGCTTTAAGAAATATTGAAGACATTAAAGAAGTTAATGTGAGAGTACATGTTACAATTCACATTCAGTGGACTGGATAGGCTGTGTATAATTAAGAAGCTTTCTTGCATAGTTAACTTTTCTTGAAGTTTTTACAGTTCTTATTTTTCATTGTATTGTTTGGCTTGAAGGAAAAAGCAAATAAGAGGAGGCTTAGAACTTGGATGTTTTAATATAAATGCTTACCGAATTACTATACTGAGTGGCTTTGTACTGAGATGGCAGTATATCTTCTGTAGAAGTCAGTTCCCTGCCCTGTTCTCAGACTTCAGATTCTCCAGCTGCATGTGTCTCTTCTCCAAAGTATGCCTCCTTTGAAAATTGGAGAACTTTCCAATGAAGACAGTTGCTGTTCTAAGTCCTCTCTTGGAAATGCTTTTCCTTAAAATAGGTCCAAGATTTATTTACCTACATGTCATTCTACAAACTTATCATTTTCCTATGCTTCTGGATAGTTTTTAAGAGGTTGAGGAAACTTGAGAGAGGTACTAGAAAATAATATTGTTTATACTTTAATAACAACAATTTTCTAATTTATAGCTCAGAGTAGATACTGTTCAGATTTGTGCTTGTTCTTTGAAATTGTATTTCTAAATAACCTGTAGCCTAGTTCTATTCCTTCTGTGCATAAAAATGGTGGTGGCCAGTAATAGGACAAGAGGAAATGGCTACAAACTGAAACATCAAAAGTTCCATGGGAACTTAAGGAAAATTTTCCTAACAGTGAAGGTGACAGCACTAGAACAGATTGCCAAGAGAGGTTGTGGAATCTCCTTCTCTGGAGATCTTCAAAACCTGCTTGAATGCCATCCTGTGCCACCTGTTGTGGGTGACCCTGCATGTGCAGAGGAGTTGGACAAGATGATCTCTGGAGGTCCCTTCCAACCTTAAAGATTCTAATCTTTGATTCTATCAAATATCCCCACATGTGCTATAAACTGAAATAAACAGCACATGACACTTTTTTCCAGAGCTGATTTTTTTGAAGATGAAGCCATTAAGCATGTTTTGAAATACAAACCATGGTGGATTGATGTCCATAAGAAAAAGACAGCCTTGAATGAAGAAAGCTGTCAGGAACATGACAGGCAAACTTTTGGTAAGAATCTGTGTCAATTACTTGTGGTTCTGTAATATGTGCTAGACTGTTGTTTTTGAAGAAATGCATGGTTTTAACTTAGCATTTTCCATCTTAAAACTACTGTTATTTATAGAATAGAGAAATAGTTTGCATTGTGCCTTTCTTTCTCTTCAGAGGTGAGTTACATACTGAAATCTTGGGGAGTGTAGTTGCCTGGAAGTCATAATACATGATAAATGCCTAAGATCAAACCACCACTTTATTGGTTAGTTTTGTGTGGACTTGAATTTGATATCTTTTGCCTTCCTGCCTTCCTTCTGTCTCTAAAGGTCCTTTCTAACCTTAAGGATTCTGTGACTCTAATATCTTCATGTGGCTGGGTAAAATAAGGTACTATCTGGTGTTTCAGTTATGTAATGGCAGTGACCCTTGCCCTCTCTCCTTTTTTCTTCTTTTGATTACTTAGTTACTGTTGTTGAAAGGAAAGAGCAGCTAATGATGACAGAAAATTGAATGAAGGTTTGAAACCAGTGGAGACTACTAAACATGAACTAGTTGTGGTAAAAGAAACCACCATGAGAGGGAGTACAGGTTCTACTTGAAAGTCTCCCAAGAGTGAAAATAGAAGAGGGCAGGAGGTAGGTCTGAGCTATTGGATCTGGAATTTGATGATCAATTGGATGAATTACTTCTGTTTTTTTTCTCTTGTCAATTAGCTAGCCTGAGTTACAACTGCTGGTTTTCTTATGACCTGCAGTAGCTTCTATTTTTACTTTGTCCACTTAAGTGGAAAAGGCCTGAGGCCACATAAACAGTCTTCATTTCACTTCTATGCCTGTATGCCACTTCTACTAATTAAGTGGACAAAGTAGCACTTGATGAGGCACAACTTGTACCTTGTACTAGGCTTCTTGCCCTATCAAGCTTGCACAGATTTCTGTCTCATGTGGAAAAAATTAGATTCTTGAAACATGTGTGGTCTCATGCTTCTACCCAAGTACACAGAAATGCAGAGAAGAGATGGAAATCACATTACAAGAGATGTTGCATTTTGACCTATAGAAGCTTCTTCTCAAACATGAGATGGTATATAATTTGAGGGAGTGTTAATTGCAGATAAGACTGTTGAATAAGAAGTAATATCTAAGTTGGAGGGATCTTAAAATAGAAAGGATGTGACTGTACAGCCTGTTGGGCCACTAGGATACTGACACCAGTTTGCTCTTTGGTGTTTCTGTAGGCTGTGCTTTGCTGCTGCTGTTATGATGGTTCCCACCTAAGGTGTGTCTGGCATCCCTAATGTCATGTGGGAACTGATATTTCAAGTGTTACTTCTTGAAAAAGTAGATGTAAGGGAAAAGTGACATGAAAAACAGCATGTTTATTGACGATTTTGTGTTCAAAACTTTTGTTTCTTCCTTGTGATAATTTAGTGACGTCCGATTTTTATCTTTATTGCTTTCTTACTGCCGAATATTTTTGTTTTACTTTTCCAATGTCTTTGGTTACAAGGAGTAATTAGAAATACATGTGTCTTTTTTTCCATGATGTGAAAATTAACTGAAGGTCTCGGTTGATTACTGCTCTTAAATTCATTCTTGGTGATTTTTGTCTTATTTCACCTCATCGGTGTTTTTTAAATGTCTCATTAGCAGACTTTTTTGTGTTTTTGGAATGGCTGTTCTCATTAGTGTTTAGTATCTTCAGTTCTCTTTTCCTCTCACCTTAACTGTTTATTTAACCTTCTCTTTCTCCACTTCTGTGCATGGTATTTTTTCTTTAATTTTCTTTGTTAGTATACTAAGTTCATTTATTTTACTGGATATTACAATCATTGTTATCATTCCTTCTACCTTCCTCCCCCCACCTTTTTGGCCATTGGGTAGCTAAGATGATTGGCTCTGCTGTAATGTACCTCAGGTAGCAGAAATACTACAGAGCAGGTTTCGCATCATGTTTGTAGCAAAATATAATTTCAGAGGTGGCCACTCCTAAAGCTGGCAGGACCAGATCTTGTTCTCTTTTTACAGTGTCTAATGTGAGTCAGATAATACTCTGTAAAGCTTAACTAATTACACAGCCTTTCCCATGAGGGAATAAAGCTCTTGGAAAAGATTCTTGTCTGCAGCTGAAGTTTACATTAGTTTTGCTTCTGGAGATTCCAGATGACAGTTTTTTTATTTAATGATGGTCACATTCAACTCAGAAGTTGGTTTTTATTCTGTTTCAAATTGCACAACAGTAAAAACTCCATTTTAGGCAATACAATAATCTTCAAAGGTTTAGGCTGACATATGTATTTAATATAACATTAATATGAGCCAAGGATAATTTATTTTGTTTACAGTTGCTCTGATCTCTTTTTAGAATAAGAATCTCTTTTTAAAGATTCATCATCTAATGGGATGCTGAATGCTGAAATAGATACCGTGGCTGCTAATTTTGCAGACTTGAGATGAATCACTATCAGTTGTTCTCTAGATCTGTTTCTCTTGGTCTTCCTGACTTTCACAGTATGTGAACTTCAGTGGCACTGCCATGCGACATAGCAAGTATTTTTCATATGGAAAAGATTTACTGCTTATTCATGCAAAATTCTTAAAATATCAATAAGCCCCTATTTTAAAGTATTACTGACTTTAGGAGGTGACAGCAGTAAGATAGAGAGGAAAGAATGATTGATGTCTTGGTTTGTAGGAACTGCAAAACTGTTAAAGAATCATTACAAATTAGGAAATTAAAGGAAATTGTGGGATCTAGGAAACAGTCTGAGTATGGTGACTTTAGGTAAGATGACTGCAGACAAAGAACAAGTGATACAAAGGAAATATGCTGTAGATGATGTGAGAACGAGAGAAGTGTGGAAACAACATGGAAGATAATTTGATTGGAGCTACAGTTTGAATGGAGCAGTTGTAAAGAAGTTCACATAAATGGAAGATGAATAAAATAGATGCCTGATCACAGTTCATGGTGAATGTAGGTGTGTAGAGGGGTACAGCTCTGTTTTTAGGAACTGGAGTTTTATTTGCTGATAGTTAAGGCTTGTCTGATACTTTTTTTTTCCTGACAGTTTTGGGGGTTTTGAAGTTGCTCAGTCCTACAAGCTTCTTCATAGATTCCACATGGAAGGAAAAGAGTCCCTTAATTTTCAGAGTCAGTGCTGTTCTTATAAGGCACTGTGGAACTCGCAGGAAAGAGAAGTTATCAGTACTTATCAGTACATCAGCGCTGTGAAAAGTTTCAGCAGCCTTTTCTACCTTAGCAGATAGCAAAAAAATAAAAGGAATCAATGGAAAATGAGCTTAGTTCTGTTACTTTGTTTATAATATTTTCAAGTGCTTTAAAAGTAGCTTCTAAGCCCTAGAGGAAGCACTGGTCCTGTGCAAAACCTCTGGGTACTTTTTTAGTTAGAAGGAATGCATGTTGTCTTATATCTTGGGGAAAGCTTGAAAGGTAGAGACTGATAAAAGTGATGCTAACCTCGTTCCCAAGTAATATACTTTCTGTTAGATAATCTCCCCTTTCTATACTATTGTTGATCTGTTAGCTTACAGAGATACAAGTATACATTTAAAACCTGGATTTGGTTGCATTATGTTGTGGCGCTCATTTTAAAGAAGTAGATTCCTCTGGTTTCCTTCAAGTTTCTTTTATAGTGGTCATGGGCTTTCAAGACTGTGCGTGACAGGGTTGTTACCTGAGGCTCTGCTTTCATCAGAAGCTGGGCCAGCTGATCTCCGGGGTCCTTTCTGACCTAGGCTCTTCTGAGATTCTGCAAGTCAGAGTGCTACCCTTGCTTTCTGTCTTGATGGCACATTTTATCTAAGGATCCCAATACAGTTATAACCATTTGTAAGTGTCACAATAGTCTTGAAAAAGATATTACACAGGCTTTATTGTTGAATAGCCTGAACCCTACATAGAATCTTAATGATGAGTTCTGCTACATAGTATTTTACTAACACCATAATAAATCAACCTATACCTTTTGTACCTCATCTTTCAGTTTAATCTCTCTAAAAGGGACTTCATTGACTGACAGTTGTTACTGAGGAGCAATTTGAAATATGATTATTTGTACAGGAGAAAAGGATATTTTAACATGATGAAGAATAATTGTAACTTGTAGGTTTGTCTTAATTGTAGATTTTGTCTGTAGGAGATTGATTAATCTGAATGCTTTAGACTGTGTTTGCACATATACCATATGCAGTTATATAGTGGCAACAAGAGGCATGATTTTGGCACTGAAAATGTACAAAACATTTTAAATGGGAACTTCATCAAATCTTATGTTTTTAGAATTTGATAAGTAATAGCAGATACTGCTTTGTACAAACGTGATTTTGATAAGTATGCAAGTATTAGGTGAAATATTGGTAATCAGTATACAAAATATAGGTTTAATAAAGCAGAAAATATTAATCTGTTAATCACATAGTCTGTTGTATGTTTAGATTCTGGGGGAAAGGAGGGGAGAAAAAATTGGTGGTTTTGATATGTTAATTGGTTTCAGACCTGCATGATTTATTATTTGAAATCCTTAAGGAATAGGTAGATCTTTGTTTGTAAACTGGAAGTATTTTCTCCAGAGAAATTAAAAACACCTGGCACATTGTAGTAAGCAAGTAAATGAACATCTTGGAACATTTACCTTTAAGGATTGTCTAGTCTGCATCTTGTTTGCTGTTGTCTAGCAGGCCTGTGTTTTTGGTGAATGTGGTCCAGTTTTATATGATAGTCTTTTCTTCCTTTAAAATGCAAATCTTCTGAAGAGTAGTTGCCTCATTTTATTTTTTTTACAAAGTTCACTAGGAATGTCTTTGATTTCAGCTTGGAAGAGGGGGAATATAGTTTACAAAATGCACATTCCACAGGAATGTACAGATAAGTCATCCAACTCCTGTTGGTCAGCAAATGTTTTTATAAGTTAGTGACTCAATGAAGAAATAAATTAAGAAATTTACATGAAATTTGCTGATGGACTAGAGGTACATCTGTATTTGAGTTAATCGTTTGAGTTGTATTAATTTCCATTAATACACTGTATTAATGGGGGGAAAAATAGAATTGCCATAATCTTTGCTAAATTTTTGCTGAGACTTTTACTCTAGTACAATTGTTGTTTCCTAGATAACAATTGGAAGAGATTGGCTTTCTCAAGATGACATAAAAGCTGGAATTCCTTTGTGTGGGAGCTTGTGAGTAAGTGGAGCCTGGCTGGAGTCCAGAGAAATGTTTAGTTCATAAAGTTTCCAGAGGAATTTAAATCAAGTATTTCATGGTTACGTAGCTCATAGCAACATTAAGGAAGTTCATAAAGAAGAAACATACTTTGTTCATAATTTTAGTTCTTGATGAAGTGTGCTCCTACTTACATGCTGTTGACATCAAGAACATTTGTTTCCAAACATGTCATAAAATCAGAAAGTTTGTAGTAAGCTCCTGGGGTAAAGATCACCCCATGTCCCTAAGCAATCTTATGGATGAGAATGAGTTGTGTAAAGTGATGATCAGTGTTTGAGAAGAAACGTCTTTAAGAACATTTGGAGCCATTGCTGTTACAGTAAAGAAATGGTATAAAAGGAATTTGGTTTGCTGTAGATTGTAACCTTTCCTCTCTGTGCGCCTGGCTGCGAGCTCCCTGGGGCGTTAGCTGCCTGTGTACCAAGCATCCACAGCTTTGATGTGGCCCGGCTGCGCAGCCTTGGCTTGCACTGCTCAGAATGTGAGAAGGTCTGTAGAAAGATAAGAACAGTAACATAGTATTTTTGAGACAATTTATTAGACAGGATCATTAGTAGCCCAAGGGTATGAGAGATGGAAAGTACCAAGCCCGAAAAGAGAAGAATAGGGAATCAAGTTGGATCTTGTCAGGAATTGGTAAGGTTGAGTGTTGTGAAGCTGGTGGACAATGGCAACTCAGCACTATGCATGGATCCGTCTCGGGGAGCCTCAAAGACTGACCATTCTCCTTGACTGCTGTCTGCATGACCAGTAAGGACTCTTACTCCTTTGTCAGGAGATAGCAATAATTGTTCTCATTTTTAAAGTATGTATATCCTACTTGCAGATTTTCTCAGTCCCCAGCTGAACAAGTCAGAGTACAGTGACCCAAAAGAGAGGAGGTCATAGAATAATTGATAATGAGTTAAGGGTGATGTGTACTTCCCCTTAGACTTGGGCCTTGTTTTGAATGTGTGATGAGTGCTTCATTGCACTTGTTCCACTCTCAGAAATCTCCTTGGATGAGGTGATATTTTAAACTGGGACTGATAGTTACTATATTATTTTGGCTTGGAACAAATGGTTGAGGATATTTTAGCAATGCAAGAAGCCATCAGCTGTGGAACCAGTACCAATGCTTTCACCTATCCCATTCCCTTGTAGGGCTGTGTTTTGCAGGGTGACTAAGGTGTGCTTGCTGTGTCTGATTCAGAAGAGATTAAAACCATTTCTGTTGACATGGAATGCTTGCACAGTCTGGATGAAAAATTTTGCTCAGGCTTCTCGCAGTTGGAATTTTACTGAATGACTTGTTGGTTTTTTCAGTTTGTATGGGCATGGCTTCCAGTCAGTTGTCTGCTTAATCTCTGCTATTATTTCAAGGCAATTGTGCCATCTTGTCTGCATTTTAAGTATTGTACTTTTTAGACAGGTTGCCTTTTCAATATTCAATCTTGGCTGTCTGTCTATACCAGTCTGCTAGGGAAGTATTTCATGTTTGTGTCAGTGCAGATATCCAGGTATTCACAAAGATTGTTGGTACTTCAGAGGGGTTCTACTGTGCTGGTGAATGCATGCTGTACTATGCAGGGCTGTGCAACCTGGTGTTCAAAGGACTGGGTCAAGGTTTAATGAGAGTTAAGTGATAGTGACTGTGAGAATGATTTGTGCTTTTTCTGGAGTGATGAGTGGTTTGTTCTTGCTGGCATGCTACTTTTGAAGACAGTGTGGAAGTGTATAGCCTGTTAAAATCAGTGTGTCACTTGTATGTTTGTAATTTACTTTTTTATAGTTGTATTCTCTGAAGAAGAGAGAGAGCAGCTGAGAAAATTCAAAAATAAATCTTATCTTCTGGATAAAAGAACCCGTCATCATGTATATCTCGGTTTAATTGATATCCTTCTGGCCTATTGCTATGAAATCTGTGTTAATGAAGGAGACAAGAATGTAAGTAAAAAAGTTTATTTCAAGAAACTAATGCCAGACTCCATACTGTCAGTGGGGAACCTTACCATCTAATGTGAAGTTACTCTTACCTCCCAACATTACAAATGTGATGAGTAAATTATAATCTCGATATGAAGCCCTTCATTTTCTGGTGGGGGGCACTTCAGTGTTATGACTTCTAAATGCTGTGAGGCTCTTCTGGAGAGAAGCGCTTTAGCTGTAGTTAAGAAGTGGAAGAAGAAGCAGGAGATTGCAAACAAGTATTTTTCTTGTGATTTGTATTGTGATGCAGAACATCTTGATTTACCTAAATAAAGATTCCGTAAAGTTGCTGTTTATGAAATGAAGATTCCTTCTTCCTTTTTTTCTGGATAGCTTTATATACCTATTTAAAAACAAAACAAAGTTGAAAATTAAGTCTGCAGGACTGAGAGTTTAGTGTTTTATAAAGGCTACCATTGTATGCTTTTAATAGAAGAGATTCTTTTAAACACTTCTAAAACTGTCTGCTGAATATGGAAAATGTTTGCTGAAGCACTGAAGCATTCTGGAAACTGTGGTGGAGCATTTAAAAACTTAAGATTAATGCTTTTTTCTGCCTTTAGTAGAAGTCACAATTCAGGGTTTGCTTTTTCACTGGGGCGAGGTTAGCTTAAATGTAGTTCTTTATGTATATTCTGGTGTTTGCCTGTCTCTCCTGTAAAAGTACCTGGCTTTATTTTGTGTTTTATATTCTAGGCTTTTTAGAGGATATAAAGAATTAAAAAGGTAGAAATTTAATGTGGAATCAAACTAATGAGATTCTGTGCTGTCCTGTGGAAAGCTTGCATTTCAAAATGATGCTGTATCCCAGATACAGCTTTATTTCTAGCATCTCCTCTGCTGAGGCTAACTGGGGGTGTTTTCTGCATGCTTTTAATCAAAATATTGGAAGAGAATCAAAAGTGTCTCCTTATCAGACTGAATTGAGACATGGATCTTAAGAATATAGAGAAGTGTGCAGACATATCTGTTCAACAGAGCAATCATAGAATTGTTATTGTATGGTTTTGTGCTGTACAAAATCACAAATATGTGAGGTTTTTTATACATGAAAAATGTTATTGATCCTTGCAATAGCCTTACAGTATATGTGGAAAATGCATTGCTTTTTTAAAATGGGAAAATGAAGGCTTTCAGGCCACACAAATCTTTATTAGAGCCAGGATTATAGATCAAGGCTTCCTGGCTTTTAGCCCTAATCATCCCACTAGACCACACTACCTCACAAATCCTATGAATCTGTCACATTTTAAGAATAATGATGTTTTACATGCACTGCTGGCTTCAGGACCTTCTCTGAAAGCCAAGTCTTGAGCTGTTTTCACAGAACAGGGCACTTTAGTTTCAACTGTTGATTCACTAGGTAGATTCAAGTTTCTCTTGCTTGGTGAAAAGTGTATTGAGGGATAGAATTTTTCTAATGCAGTTTTTCCTGTGATTACTATTTTGTTTTAAAGACTTGTGCTTAGCCTGGATATTCCCCAGTATGGAAGCATGTTTAATTTTAATGTACCACATAACAATACCATTTTAATGTGGTCCTGTGGTTGTTTCAATGCATGTAATATAATTACTGCTTCATATACACATATGTTTCATATGTGTATGAATATATTACTGCTTCATATACACATGTTTTTAAATTATTGCTGGCAGGTTATCCTAAGTAGTTTAACAGCAGTCTTGAACACTGATTTAGATAATACTTGTTTTATTTTTCCCTCTCTTAAAATCAGGTTGAATCCGCTTGGAATGTCAGGAAACTGAGTGCCACACTGTGTTGGCTGGAAGTAAGTTAAAACTTTAGTGCATTATTATTTTTAGAATTGCGTGTTGCTTTTTGAAAGGCTACTCTTTCAAGTTTATTGTATATTTAATAAATATTACAAGAAATCGATCATTGTACTTTGAAATTGTTTACCAAGAAGCACATAGGCCTGTGTAGTAAAGTTGTTACATATCTGGGATTGGAAAGGATTTAACCTGGCCCGCAGATCATGATTTCTCATGATGGCAACAAGCTAGAAAATTCCTTAAATTACTAAGCTATGTTGTAATTTGCAGAATAAAATATTAACTTTTGACAAGAGTTTGGGGTCCACCCTGCAAATGCTTCTAATGGTTATAAAAGTTGTATTTGGTAATAAGATTTTTTCTGCTGAAAACTAGCTTTTGTAAATCAGTGAGTTTTTGCTTTTTCTTTTGCTGGTGCAGAACATTCAATGAGCAAGTCTTGAAGGAGTACTACTAAAATGCAGTTTCACTCTTGGATTTTTCAGATCCGTATCCCGACACAGCATGGGAGTTTTCTGTGTGTGCTTATTCTATAATGTAGCAGCTCTTGGCACTGTTTCTGCCAACAGTATACTTCACACCCAGAAAATTCAGTCTCCTGGCACCAAGCTGTTAATAAGTATATCTGTTATATAAACCATGTAGAGGCGGGTGCTTTCATCAATCTGTAAATAAAACTGTATCAGCTGTGGTTTGTTTGAACTGACTGCTGTTTTTCTGTGCATGTGCATGCACATACCTTAGACTCTATATATTACTAAAAATGATTAAAACACTTATCAGTAATACTTAAAAATGAAAAAGGTATTGAGATACGTAATGTGAAAAGGCACCGGCTTTCAGCAAAGCATTTATATTAATTTTAATAAATTGAAAATTCAAGATATATTCAAAAACACCTATTTGATAAATGGGATATTGTCTTCTAAGAGTGAATGCTGGAAAGTAAATTACTCTCCACATTAACTCACTAGTGCATATGGACAGAGTAGGTTAGAGGAGTTCCTCACTCAAAGTGAGACAATGAACTGCCTTCCCTAGGGAGATGCATTTATGCCTGTCTAAAATATCTGCAGCGTCCATGAAAGGCAGTCATGTATCATTTTGAAACAGCTTATATGTGCATATGTGTTCTGTTAATATCATGTGTTTTTAATTTTTATTTATTCTTAAAAGGCTTTTTATAGCTTCCCTTTAATATACATAATAATATGGGGCAGATGTAATTCATTGCTCTCTTCTAAAGAATGGCTGAGTTTAGAGTTAGATGTTTTATTTTAGTTTTCGCGATGTTCTTTTTAAAATTCAAAGCCACCAAAATATATTGGACTTTTGTTATCCTGCCATGCAAGCCAAATGTGCCGTATCTTGTTTCTGTTTGATATTAGCATAGTGGCTTTCATATTTTTTGAAATACCGATTGCAGATATATAAAAGGACTTTTCATTCTATGCTGTTACGACTTCTCCTAAATTAAGGTTTTTATCAAAAATGCTCACTAATTCAGTTGTTGTTGATGCCTACAGAGTTTTACTAGCATTCATGAGGTCCTGGTATCCTTTGGAAGAAGAGTTGTGTGCTATCCCCTGTACAGGCATTTCAGATTAGTGACACGTGCCATCAATGATACAGTCATGATACTGCAGCTAGGTAAGTTTTTTAGAAATTGAAAATGATACCTGCAGAATTGCATTGTATTTGTCTGCCAAGAGATTTTTCTGTTCAAAAGGAACATTTAATGATGCTTTTCTTATGGTGGGTTAGATGCTATGATTGCATTAGGCCCCTTTAAAAGTAAATAATTTTGATTTTTGTTTCCGCTACATTTAAGTTGTATTTCCAAGAAGACTGTCTTGTTTAGAGGCATAGTAGAAGTCTGTGGTTTCTGTAGTTCTTTGCTTCTTAATTATGTGACTGAAGCCCATTATTAGAAATACTTCCAGTCTCTCAAGTTCCATAGTTTGTCTCCAACCAAGGGTGTGTGTTTGTGCAGTGTGGTTTTATCTCTTATAAGCACCTTCTACAGCTGTTTCAATTGTTTTATCCAGTTTAGTTCTTCCTTTTGGAAGAACTGTTCTTTTAATTTAACTGCTGTTACTACTAACTGTTAAGTTCCCACTTGCCAATTTCTTCATTCATAATTGAAGCTTCTGTTGTCTTTTGTTTTTTTGTTTCCTGTTTGAGGCAATCCATTAGTAACATTCTTCCAACTTAAAGTCATTGTATTGGACATCTAACTCTCAATACTAAGCTGTATCTTTGTGCCATACAGGGTCACACATGAAAAGGAGCTGTTTGGAAGACAAGGGATAGTTTTGTGGCTTATAGGCAGGCAGTTGCTGTTTAGTAGGATTAAGTGAGGTCACTGTTTAGTCCAGTAGTGGTTGAAGAAAAATCCTGAACTATTGTGAGATGGTGGCTTAGGTTCTGAGGGAAGCCTAAAGGATTGATCAGAACTCTAGTAGAACAGTAAAGTGAATGAAACCTAACTTAGATAATGTACTGTTTTATCAGCAGCCCCTGAAGTTCTGAAATGAGTTTCACACATAGAAAGCATCAAAATAATTTGTTTTACATTGCTGGCCTTCTATATCACTGTTCTGTTGTGAGCAAAGTTCAAAATCACTGACTTGGGTCTTTTATCTTAGTTCTACCATACTGACAGTTTTTCTAAATTCTAAATTTCTAAAACTGAAGAATAAAAAAGCTGTACTACCAATTTGTAGCTTTTTATTCCATGTTCAGAAGTGGCACTTTCATCTTAATGGCTGTTAATAAATCTTTCAACAGCAGCACTCTACATTTCCAGTTTATCCTAGACTGCTTTCATTTAGCAGTGTACAAATGTTTGGAAATGTGGTCATTCCATGTCAGTTGTACAGGCTTACATCATCATAATCAGATTTTAATTCTAAATCCTAACTTTTAAGTTTTGTTTCTTGTTTGTTTAATTTATAAAAACTTATGCTCTGTTTTTAGTACCCAGTGCTAAGTTACAGGAGGAGAAAATGCATGGATTTGGGAAGGGCAAACAGCGCAAGTGCAACACTGCATGTGTTCTATATGCATGTGTGCATACAAGCACACTTTATGTACACATGTATGTGGGGATTTTTGTAAGATTAGTTAGCAAAACTCTCAAAGAAACAAGACGGTTTGCATAACTAATTTGTCTGTATGTCACTAAGTCCATAATCCTCACCTCTCTCTTTACAGCTCTGAGTTCTAGCCTGTCTATCAACAGGTGATATGAATGCCCTGAATTTAACCAGTACCCAATGAGGCATTTGGTTCTGAATGATCAGCTTATTCGTGGGGAAAATGAATGGACCTGTGTGTATAGAATGCATTGTATGATTCTGTGTAAAATAATGATAAGTATTTATAAAGTGTTAGTTCACTCTCCTTTAAGTCACTGAACAGAAAGTCTTGTAATATGCAGCCCTGGGATAGTTCAAAACGTTTGCAAGAAGTACAGAGCGCTACTGTTAGTCTGGTCAAAAGTATTGAGAGGAAGTAGGTTAATGTCATGTAATCACTGAGCTATTTAAAATCTTCAAGCATCTTAATAGCTAATGGTTTACAAGCACTGGAATAAGTTAAGAACGGCAGTAGGTCTGGTTTCGTTCAGCTGCAGTCTGTGCGTGTCTGGCTGTGCTGGTTGCCTGGGAAACTAGTGCAGGATGATGTGACTGGCTGCATTGGCAGAGCTGCCAATGGACCATGAAGGTGCTGGAATAGCATGAAATGCAGGTCCCCCCCTCAAAAAAATAAAGGTGTGGGGGGTGGGATGTATGCCCATTTTCGTTGGAGTCCCTATTGGGAGAAAGGAAGAAATGGTTTTCAATATCAGCCATGATAATCTGTGTGCTACCTGGGAAGTGGGTGAAAACATCTTCATTTGGGCATTAATCTATTAGGAGGGCCCTTAAACTTGTTAGAGTAGCGGCATGAATAACAGCAGTTAATATTGACTGAAAATTCAGGGGTTTATGTCCCAGATTGGCCTTTGTAGCTGTGGAACTTAGCTAGTGCAAGAAGTTATGAAGTCTTTAAATAACAAACTACCATTAGTTTTGAAACTGTGTAGAATTGAAGTCTGTCAGTTACAGGTGGGCTTTTGTTTACATTTGTGTTTGTTCTCAACTTCTGTTCTTCCAGACCAGTGGTTTTTCAGTTGTTTGCCATTGCTTTTTGCTGTCTAGGCTCTCTCTCCTTATTGCAACCTGCCATATCTTACCATTCCATATCCTTTTAACTGAGTTTTCTGTGCCTCTAGGTTTTCAGCATCTAAGTACTTAAACAATCAAAAATTTTGGGCTTGAACAGCAGAGGGAGTTCTGATCTTTTTTTTAATCTGTGAAATGTAACTTCATCTGTGTTTAGGTTTCATAGCCTTGGAGGAGCTGATCTCTTGGGAGTGGGTTATTGGATTCCATTTGCTGTAGTGGCTGTTTTTATTTGATTTCACTCCCCCTGCCCCCTGTTTAACAGTGGTATTTTCTTGTGTATGTTCCAGCACTTAACCCTTTAGAAACTGATTAGAAAACTAGACAAGGAGGTGTCAGCTAAAAGGAAGCTTTTCTCTTCATAAGGAATGACTATATATGAAGAAAATTAAACTGACTACAGAATGATTTCTGACTGCAATAAGAGAACACCCGATTTTTGATCTTTTCCTGCATTTATCAACAATATATATTGAAAAAAAAACCTTTTTAAGCCTGAAATAGGATTTTTCTTTCTGGGAACTCAACTTCTCTAATTATTCTACAGCAAACACAGAGGATGTGATCCAGTGAATTGAAGGTGATAGATGATGGGGAGTGGTGGTATTTATGTTGACTGATGCAGTTGGCTCCTCTGCAGTTGATCCTGTTGTGGACTGTGTAATCCACATCTTGTGTTTTACCAGTGTGTGTATTTGAGTAGGCATATGGAGTTCCAAGCTTTTTTACAGAGGGCGTACAGGATTTTTCTGAGGCAGTAGATCAACTTAAAGTTACAAGAGCATTGTAGATAGCATAATCACTAACCTTAGAGGTGAGAAGATGATAAAGATTAGCTATGATTTCTAAAGAATTATAAAAATCAATCTCTTTTCAGGAAAAGGTGCAGTTTTGAAGTGTCTGCTGGACATTCACAAGATTTTTAGGGAGAATGACCCTTCCTATATCCTTAATGATCTCTTCATTACAGACTATTGCATCTGGATTCAAAAAATCAAGTAAGTTCTTAATCTTTAGCGTAATTCTAACTGATGCTTATTCACACACTAAAAAAGCTGTGTCCAGTAAATGGAAATGAATACAGTCTTTTCATTTCATAAACTTGTCTAGTTATTTTTATAACACAAGAAAAAATTCATTGTAGTTTTTACATGTTAACATCACTGGAGAAGATTTTTTAAGATAAAATTGTAAATTTTCATTCATATATTAATCTTTGCTTTTTTGAGGAGGGAAGTGAGAAGATGTGAACAACCTTACGGGAATATTCATTCCACTGCGGCATTTTCTAGGAACAGAAATGATTATATAGCACTTATATAACATTGGGGACAACCTCCAATTCAAGACTGAATCAACAACTTATAATTGCAAATAGAGGCACTTACAGGCCATTTGCATCTGTGTGAAGCAGTTGGTTTATGGGTTATAGCAGTTGTACCAGTTCATTATAACACCAGTGTAAGTGCCGTGCCTGTCTGCTGCTGCCCCTACAGCTGCTTGCCAGCTTGCTTGCTCTGGTCATAAGCTTGGGCTTCCATTCTGCTGAGAGGAAACTTTCCTGCTTCTAGGCTAAATCCCCCTCACTTCATCACCCTATGTCTCACCTATAATCTTTTAATAGAGATGGCTTTGCTTAGCTTTGAGCCCCCCACGGGTGTGGGGAAATTCATATGCAGGTTGAAGTCAAGTTGAAGAAGTACTGTAAGTGGAGGAGAAAGTTATTTCATGCATCTTTATTTTAAAGAGTCATAAAAAGAATATCACTGCTGTCTGGTGGTGAATGTCTGGTAAGACGGAGGAACCAAGTTTTCCTTTAAATACAACAGAAGAAAATGTATGGTGAATGTGATTGAAATGTTAACACATTTAACTTCCATTCCAGGTGCATACATTAGATACCAGTTAAGCAGAACTGACAGCCTTCAGAAAGAGGGTAATTAAGCTATCTTGTTGTCGTAATGACATGGCACAATAGTTGTCTGTCGTTAGGAGAGCGAGAGAAAAGGGAACTGCAGAAGCCATCTTCTATTTTTAGGTTCTGACTCAGGAAAGCATGTAACCATAGGCTTAAGCCATTCCTGTTCAGTTTAGCAGTGAGCCATGTGCTTGAAGTTAAACAGGAATTTTTTTCCAAAATAACATAAATATTGAAGGGAACTATTAAGTCCTTTTGTAATTCAGAAAATATCTTAACAGATTTGGAAGTGGTTGTTGATTGGCTTGTGAGAACAAGGGTTCTCACATCCACAGGTGAGTAACAGGCTTTAATAGGAGGGTGATCTCTGTATTTTTCTGGAGAAAGTTGGTGATTTGCTTTTGTGGGAAAGGGATTCAGTGAAGTGGTAACTATAGATATTTTAAGCTCTTGTTTGATTGCTGCTTAACTGTTCTTTGCTGTGTGCAAACTTCATTAATTTTTTTGCCTCTATTTTGCTCTCGCGGTGCACTCTTAAAATCTGTGAAGGGTGGATTGTTTGGCTAGCGTTGCACAGGCACGCACACACACTGTAATATAACCAACTTGTACGGCAGTTTGAGGTCTCTTTGTTTCTCTTAGTTGAATTAGCTTATGGGTTCTTATTTTTATTGAAGAATCTGAACACTTCAATAACAGCTAGAAACAAACTTTTAACTTCTTTATTTTGGCAGAGAGAAGCCTAGGGTCTGTAGATCAGAATGAAAAAATAAAAAGTAAGGCGGGAGGGGAGAGTGGAGTAGGCATGGGCAGAATTGTAAGGGTTGTATTGAATGGTAGTAAGAAGGCACTGCTAATCAAGATTGTTCCTCTGGGAAAGGAACAGTAGTTAGTAACTGGAAGTTCCTAACCCCCTAGATACGGGATATGGAAATAAAAACATGCAGCCAACACTGTGTCAATAGCTGATTACAAATTTGTTTTGAGATCATTGTTTGGCTGTGGCTAAATTAGATGAATAAGTGAATGTGTCAATGGGCTGGCAGAAGGTTATATTATGTAAGTACAGTGTATCTAAAATTGGAAGTGATTAAGCTGCTGAATAAAACACATGCAGGTGGCTAATAGTCTATTGGACTTGATGAGTGCAATCTAATTCTTTAATTCTGTGGATTCTTTTAGATAAACTTATTTAATTCAGGTAGCTATTTCCTAAGAAAAAAGTAAACTTCTAAGTCTTGAGCGATGCAATGATATTGGCAAGTGTAGCTTAAGTTTAATCTTCATATTTGTAATCTTTAAGGCTGGTTTTACTACCTGGCATGTTTTCTAGTGTCTCTTTGAGCTGCTTTTGATGTTCGTATTAGTTATTTGGTCTGTCTTACAAACTGGTGTGAACTGGCCGGGGGTTTTGAAGAAAGGGAGCATATTCCTCAGGTAAGTTTATCAGAAAAGAGAAAAATCTATCACAAAAATGTATCTTAACCTGGGTAACAAAAGCTGGACAAAGACCTGTGGAGGCAGCTCTTAGTAAATCTCAGCAGGTGGTGTCAACATTTATGTTGCAAAGCCAGATGCAGCCAGATGGAAAATTGCATCTTTAACCCCTGAGGTCATGATGGCATGTCACCACTTCATTTGATCCCCCTGCTAAGTGAGCTTATCCACTCTGCTGTTGCTTCTGTTATTACTGTCATTTCCATAAAAAAAATAAATTTCATTTGTCTGGTTTGCTTGTCCTTTATTTTTTTCTTTAGGTCAGAGCTTTTCCAAATTGCTGTGGTACATATGGCAGCCTCTCCATGCTGCATTTGTAACAGCTTGTATTATAAGCCCCTTACACTGGTGCAAAGAGCAGAAGGAGATAGGATGAGAAAAGAATTCTAAGAAGCCACTGGCTGTCAGATGGCTGCAGATGGGCTGCTAAGACCAGAGGAATCTAAGTACAAGTTTGTAGGGAGAGGAGGAATAATTGCTAAGGGACTTGGCCTTCTGTGGCAGGAGTTGTGGCTGTGTGACTGCCCCTGCTCCCCAGACTTCTGTCATTTGAGCAAGTCACAGAAATCTACTTGGTGACTTGGGCCTTGATCCTTTTGGGTAGCGTCATGTCTCCCTCTGGGCGTTTATACTCCCCTTTACTCCAGCTCTGTTCATGTTGCTCTCTTGCCTGGGAGCATTGTTCAGTTGATGACATCTGCTGCCTGTAGTCCCAGTGGAAAGGTGGAAGAAGCCTAAACAGCCTTTGAGCCATCATCTGGGCAGGCTGCTCAGTGCACACAGTTCTGCATCCCCTCCCAGAACAGAGCAACTGAGCATGAGCCAATTTAACCTTTATCTCCTAATGTTTAAATACATGTTTTGTCTTGCTCATACTACTTTAGCAATAACAACTGTATCTCTTCAGCTTTCTTGAATCAGAGGTTGAGCTGTTAGGGTTCCTGGCTGCTTTCCAGGGGTTACAGTGCTTTTCTTATGGAGAGATTGGCAGCACTAGACCTCAGTTTCATGGATATGAAGAGAAATGTCATCCAGTGAGGAGCAAGGAAATATTTGATCTCCTGTAATGTGTGTTCTTCATTGTCGCAACTTGTTATATATTTTTAATTTACCACTTTATCACTTTTATCTCTTGATTTTTCCATTGGAAAAAGTCTTATTTTTTTTATATTACATATTTTTATTCTTAAAGGACATTTATTATAGCTTTGTACAAATGCAATAACATTGGAGCTACTTAAATTTTTTACATAACATTAATACCATATCTAAGACAGCTTCAAGAAGCAACGATGATTTGCCCATCCATGCTTGCTTTTCTTGTGACTGATTTTGTAGAAGTCTTGAAACCATATTAATAGGATAATTCTCATACTTAAAGGAAGTTATGAATTGAATTTCTAATATGGGGGGATCCATTTATGTGGTTGTTAGTATTGCCTAAGTGGAGAGCAATTAGGACCTGCAATTATTGTTTTTTACCCTTGGTGTTTCTTAAAAAGTCAAAAGGAGAGCTCAGCCTTGTCTGCTGTTGAAGTTACCCATGTTTTTGGAGTATGATTGTGTTTAGCTTTCTTGTGAAAAAAATCTACCAAGGCTCAGTTAAAATGCTACTCACATACATACAATTAAATTAATTATATTCCAAAAGGCATAATTATCTGAAGATTGTTCCCTGTGATTGTTTCATTCTTTTCAGAGCATGTACTGTAGATTAGACTGCATGCTGCTTACATGCAGCCTGACTGTTCATGCAGCGTTACTGGAGTGGGGCTGCATGTGCCTCCGAAGGTTGTGGAGGCGGCTTGTTGATCCTGGAGGGATTTTTTTCCCGCCCCCCCTTCAAATTTTCTAACTTTTTGAGTTTTCAACCTTATAATGCTTAGCTTAGTGTCAAGTTGTTGACAATAGAAGATTTCAGTGAATTATTGGTGGTGGTGACTTATGGGTATTGGAAGCAGGCATGTTATACATATATATATATACAGCCATTGAGGCTGCCTCAACTTTTTAACACATCTTCTCTGCCTGAATAATACTATGTTAGCATTTGTAATATGAATGTTTCTATAAGGAGAATGAATTTAGATTAACAAATCCGCTTTCAACTTTGAACCTGTCTCCAGATAAAAACTCATCAGTGCTTGCTGGTTTTCTGCTTGCTTTGTAGTAAATCCGGATCCAAGTTGGATTGATATAGTTCTTGATAAAAGACTATCTTAAAGATAAGACCACAATACGTTTAGCTGTTGACACAATACTTACATTGCTAGCATGAGCACTTGCTGGGTGCCTGGGCTGTGAGTCCCGGGGGCAAGTTATTCTAACTTTTATTGTCACCAAAGGAGGGAGATTTTGTTCACTTGTCTGTGCTTCTGTTCAGCCTATGTTGTAGCCTCCAGAGAACTCCTATATTATTGTATGTTGTTCTTTAATGTATGTGTGCTCTGCAGTCACACCTCTGCATTGAAGAGCACAAATGCTTATACCTAAGGTAAATCTAACCTGACTAATTTTGATGACTACAGGTGCAATATGTTGTTTTAAACATAAACTAATTTAGAAAAGAACCAGCTTCCTAAT